TTACATTTTTCCTAAAAATCAGCTATTTGCATGCTTAATTAATGCATTTCCTAATTTGCATATGTTAGCAATATGCAAATTAGGTAAATGCATTAATTAAGCATGCGAAAGGCTGATTTTTTAGAATAAAATGAATAGTTAAACGGCTGAAACTAAACCAAATTGTCTGAAATTTTGTACAGTAATTAAAAACGAAACAATGTTTCCATCTATTAACTCAAAATATGATTAAAGCTTTTACATTTTGTGCGCGAGCCATTTTTAGTTTGTTGGAAAAGACACCCCCCCCCTGGTTCACCAAATTTGAGTTTGAGAATTTTTTTTCATTATTCTACATTATAAGTACCCAAAGAAGCTATATATATAAAAAACGGGATACAAATAGGTGTTTTGCGAAATTGAGAGCGATTTCAAATCTGTTCAGTTTTTTTTGATACACCCTGTATAGCGATAAGTCCATACCAAGTTAATATCTCTAACATATAAGTTTTAGGTTTTTACACTGAATTAAATATCATGCAATATCATAAGTTGCAATTAATCAAGCCATTGATATTTGAGTGATCAAGAAGACAATTAAGATAGGTATTTATAACTGACCATTTGTTCCAGCTAGGCTTAATTGCATGATACCATTGTAAAATCGTTAGGCAGAGTAAAATATAAAGTAGGGTACATCTGGGCACAGATATTGCCACTTAATTAAAGGGTTAATATAGAAATTTTGTATTTCATAAAGTATTACAATGCTTTTGAAAGGGATAATTTTAAGTGAAACCCACCTGTTGTCAGTGCTGGATTAACCATATGGCAGAAGCGGCATATGCCACGGGCCCCGCTCTTTTGGGGGCCCCGCGCTTACTCTCTTCTATTTTTTCCGAATTTTTTTGCTCCATGTTTCAGTGCGAGATCCAAACAGTGCGCCAGTGCGGGGCTCTAAAGAGTCCAAGTCCCCCAGAAAACGCAAGGGCCCCAAAATTTAAAAAGCGAGGCCCCATCAAGCTGGGCCCAAACGTTTTTTTGTTCCCTGTTTCAGCGCGGGGCCCCAAAGAGCCCACGGTCGTCAGAAAACGTCAGGCCCCAAAATTTAAAAATCAAGGTCCCAAATAGCCGGGCCTGAAATGGTTTTTTGTTTCCTGTTTCAGCGCAGGATCCAAACAGCGCGAGGTCCCAAAGAGTCCAAGGCCCCTAAACGCGAAGCCCCCAAATAAAAAAACATGAGGCCCCAAAGTTTAAAAAGTGAGGCTCCAAAAGCAGGGCAGCAAACAATTTTTTTTGTTCCTTCTCTGGGCAAGGGGCTCGAGCCAAAGAGCGAGGCCAGAAAAATCATAGGGGTCAGAAAATATCAATGTTTTTTAATTAATCTTACTGAATTCAGTGTCTAATATACCGTTGGAAGGTTTAGGGGGGGGGGGGTCAAGGGCCCCGTGCTGATAATATGCCACGGGCCCGCGGAACGTTAATCCGGCCCTGCCTGTTGTGGACATACAAAGTAAAATTGTGAACTGATGATGCAGAACCACTGGTAGGTAGGGATTGTGGGGCACTAAATTTACTGTTTTCGTAGATTTTTGTCCAAGCAATTAAGTTATAAAGAACAGAATAAGAGTGTTGCCACATTCTATAGGCAAATGGTTGATTTGTCAAATATCAATTATGGATTGTTTCGTTATAAACACTGGAATGCTCATACTGGATGGTTGTACAATAAGCAAAATTTGCCTTTAGGCCAATGAAAATTGATATCATGTTTCTCGTCCCCGCCCGCATGGGATTTATCTGCTGCACGAAAATTTTTCATTATTCATTATTTTTGAAAAATAGGCTTAAAAACACCAAATTAATCTCCAGATCAAAGTCTTATTGCTGCATTCCTCAAGCGCAACTCAAATTGTATCTTTGTAAAGATATTACTCGCCAGAATGCCTCTATTTTTCATGTCAGCCCTGGTATGTGTAGAAATATACTGTAGTCTGTAGACTGCAGTGTAGGTCGTATTAAATTAAAATGAATTATACACCAATTTTTAATACTTCAGATTTTTATGGGTTTTTTTGCTGGGTATAGGAAATTATTGACAAGCAGAATTCAAATACAAAAATAATGAAAAATGAAAAAATCCCGCTCCAAATTTTTGAAAATTGTGGACGAGAAACATGATATCAATTTTCATTGGCCTTAGTGAAGTAAGCCAGTATCTAGGCTGGCTTGCATTACATATAAACATCCCCTATAATCCTACTATAGTTGGAAAACAAATCTAGAATGAAATATATTCCCTTCAATATATGCAATTTGTAGTTAGTTGCATATATAGGCACAAAAATGGCTGTAATAGTTTAAAATTCAATAAAATGTCATTGTGTTGACATGAAAATATTGTACTGACTGTTTTTGTATAGATTCGTAGTGACATACAAGTCTAATATGCCACTACACCACTGCAAATCTGCATTCATAGTTCATACGATTGAGCATCTCATGGTTTAAATTAACACCTAGCTATGGCTATAGTACAAAAACAGTTGGTAGAATATGTTCATGTCAACACAATTATGACATTTTATTGAATTTTAAACTATTTCAGCCACTTTTGTGCCTATATATATACAACTAACTACAAATTGCAAATATTGAAGGGAAATATATTTCATTCTAGATTTGTTTTACTTCTTAAATTTTTCCAACTATAGTAGGATTGTAGGGGATGTTTATATGTAATGCAAGCCAGCCTAGATACTGGCTTACTTTACTAAGGCAAATTTTGCTTATTGTACAACCATCCAGTATGAGCATTCCAGTGTTTATAATGAAACAATCCATAATTGATATTTGACAAATCAACCATTTGCCTATAGAACTACATGAATGTGGCAACACTATTATTCTGTTCTTTATAACTTAATTGCTTGGACAAAAATCTACGAAAACAGTAAATTTAGTGCCCTACAATCCCTAGCTACCAGTGGTTCTGCATCATCAGTTCACAATTTTACTTTGTATGTCCACAACAGGTGGGTTTCAGTTTGTTAACAACGTTCAATTTTACTATATATTTAATAACATTTAAACACATATCACAATAAAACAGCCGGTTCGGCACTGGCGCTAGCTTTGTTATATTTTCGCCATGTCTGGAGGCGTGAACTCTACCAAGAAGGCGGGTTGTGGGCGTGCCACACTAGCTTCTGATTGGCGCGTTGTCTCTACGTCATTACTATCATTTATAATGTTAATATAAACCTGAACCGTTCGATACACTCCCGAGGGTTAATGTTTGTACTAATATAACTATTAATTAATAAACTTAAATCACGTTATTGTGTCACACAGTATCTTTACGATTGTTCTGACTTCGTAGGAAGTATTTAGTAACAACTGTACTCCTTGCGTTCGCCTTCAGCGGTTCCTTTGAAGAGGCATCCTCTTTCGTCTCTTCCGTCGTAGGATCCCTCGCGTTCGTTTCGTTCTTCTGTTTGCAACTCGACCGTATTTCTAGAGGAACAAGGTGTTGTATGGGTCTTCGTAACCATGTTGATTTTCCATTCTCTTGATTAACTACGCGTACCTTTGCCGCTCTAATAACACCGTCTTTACTGGGGAGTAATTCCTCCACCCTAGCTAACTTCCAAAATGATCGTGATGACTTGTCGTTCTTTAAAACTACGATCTCTCCTTCTTCTATCGCCAGCTTACGAGCCGCATCCGACGAAACCTTTGACCTTGATGACTCTCTTAAACTAACGAGATACTCCGTTCTCCATTGCTTCGCAAACTGGTTTAAAAGCCTTTTGTGATACTTCTGTCGTCGAGTTAGGGATTGATTTGTACTGATCACTTCGAATTGCTTATCGTTTGGCGTTGTAGCGATGTTTCGACCATAGATCAACGATGCAGGTGTTAACGGATAAGACACGCCTTCTTCATCATCGTATACGTAAGTCATAGGTCGATTGTTCAGCGTAGCTTCAATCTCAATCAATAATGTGCGCATTTCTTCAAACGATAATGATGCTCGACCCACCGCCTTTTTCAGACAGCGTTTGACACATTTCACCATTCTTTCCCAGAAACCCCCTTGCCAGGGTGCCTTTTCCACTATAAACTCCCACGTGATTCCTTTGTTCGCCAAATACCGCTGAACTTCCATAGATCTCGTAATTCCCTTGACTTCTTTTGCAGCCGCTTTAAACGTTTTCGCGTTATCCGATAGTAACTTTGTCGGTAATCCTCTTCGAGCGGTGAATCTTCTAAATGATTGTAAGAATGTAGACACTGATAAATTTGGCACAAGTTCAAGGTGTAACGCTCTTGTTGACGCGCAGGTATAGAGACAAATGTACGCCTTTTGCAACTTTCGTTCTTTATCATCTTCACCTTCGGTCGTTAAATATAGTGGTCCAGCGAAGTCCATGCCGGTGTGAGCAAAAGGTGGATCATCGCTTACTCTACATGATGGTAGCTGGGCGAACTTTGGTGAACCGTATGGCTTCCCTTCGTGTTTTCTACATGTAACACATACTCCAATTACACGTTTAACGGCTTCTCGACCTCTTGGAATCCAATATACTTCGCGAATGCAGTTCAATGTTTCTTTGACACCGTTGTGATGGACGACTTCGTGACAGTTGCGAATTACAAGTTGCGTATAGAAATGTCGTGCAGGAAGAAGTATTGGCCGCTTTGTCGTCATGGGTAATGATGATTTATCTATTCGACCTTGGCATCGAATCGTACCTTCTTCGTCCAAGAATAAATCCAACTGTCTTACGAGCAGCGGTTCTTTCTTCGAAACTCCTTGGAGATATGACCTTTCGTCTTCGAAATTGCTTGCCTGTATGGTATTCACCCAAAGTTTTTCAGCTGCTCTTAGTTCATTCGCAGTTACTTCAATTGACACTGGCTGTCTCCTCGTTTTGTCACCGAATCTCTTTAATAACGCTGTTACTCGTAAAAGTTGCTCTTTGGTACTGTACCGGTTGCAATCCATGATGGCTTCTACGTTAGGTGGGGTGATCGTAACATTGGCTAAAGCTCTCGTTATCGTTGGTTCAATCTTGGGCTTCGTGATTTCTGCGAACGCGCTCAGTTCGTCACTCTTCGTAGGTCCTGGTTCACTCGGCCAAGCCTCCTCGGTGCTTCGAATAAACTCTGGACCGTTCCACCACGTCGTATTCTTCGTTAACTCAATTCCGCGACTTCCTCGAGATGGCAAATCTGCGGGGTTTTGTTCGCCTGGGCAAAATCTCCAGGATTCTTTCTCGACAAGGTCCCGTATCTCTTGGACACGATGATTGACGTAAGATTTCCAAACTTTCTCGTTTCTGATCCAACACAAAACTGTGTAAGAATCAGTCCAACAAAATACTTCAGGAGTCGTGTTCAATGACGTTAGCCCTTTCTGGACAGAGTTCATCAATCGAGCTAGGATAGTTGCACCCAGTAATTCTAGTCGTGGTACGGATTGTTTTTTTATCGGAGCCACTCTCGTTTTGGAGG